GCAGATCCGTGCCAAGTATACCACTGTTCTGTACGTATGAAATATTCCAAAGAGGATCGATAAATTTGAAAACATTGATATGTTTTTGTATATGCACGTGCAGTGTGTGTATGTGTGTGGAAATATTTATTTGTTAAATTTACATAAAATAGGATAGAAATATACAGAATTGAATATTGTTTTTAACCATCCCTAAATATATGAACACTAAATTACTTGGTGGACTTTATCTTCATTATCATTATTATCTTTAGTTTATTGTCACCAAATTTTCTATCAGTTTTGTCTAAATGAAGTCTTAAATCTATTAATGAAGGCGGGAGTAGTGACAGCCACAAGAAGACAGTGTTATGCGCCGTGTTCAAACCCAGTCCCAGTACCAGGGAAATGTTGTCCCCAGTGCAACGGTAAGGACTTGATTCAATGTTTTGATTTCTTATCTTGTTCAATAGTATAACATTTTTCAGTTAACAAAATATGACCCTACTTTGATAAGGAACCCCCCTGAAGCATGTGGGTATTATGAAAGGCGCCTCCCAATATTTGGTGCCCTATTAGAAAAAGACGACTTCGAAATATTGGGTGTAGGTCTCTTGTTCTGTGTTTTGATTTTTCATCTGAAAGTATCTTTTTCAGTTTACAAAACATGCCCCACAATGATAAAGACATTTCCCCTGGAGCCGTGATATAATATTTGGTACCCAATTAGAAATTGAGGAGTTAGTTTCTGCGGGACCCGAGGCGGGATTTTTGGGATTTCATTAGGGCCACTAATTTGGTCGTCGTCTGCTAACATTGTGAGGGGTGCATACAAAAACATGGCCAAATTGTTGTGAAACTATTCTGTTGTCAGATTCAACAAGAAGAAAATTAAAAGTCGTGTTAAATGACTGTAACACATATGAACATTTCCCTCAGGTTGGCCCCGGGTCAATTTACCTTAAACTGGAGAACGTTTCTTTCCTTATATTTATTGTCTGCCAAATTCAACGAGGTTCGTTTCTCCCGTGTGTACTAGGTCGATTAACCATACCAGTAACAGACTGGTAAATATTAGTTTATCCATTCATCTGCGGTAAATGCGGAAACTGAAGTGGATATAGATGTTGTTACATACAGTATCAAACCGAGGAACATCCAATACAAATATTTGTCCCCCGGCGTCCCAAGGTCAACTGAAAATGTCACACTTGTATGGTTTTGGAACAATTAAATGGAGATGAAAATTTTTTCAACAATTAGAATCTTTTTTCAGTAAAACTAATTCTCAAGTTCAAGCAAACTTTCGAACGAAGAAAGATCGCCATTACAAGTCGCCAATTTAGCGATATCAAACTAAAATCAGAGATATTTCCCTTTTCCAGACCTATAGCTAGCATTTTTAACAGGACCAGTCTGTCTAATAAATGTGTAACCATTTGAGGAAACGATAAAGTGAATGAAATTACAATTAGATGGCCCATGGACAGATAACAAAAAGGTCAGAACTTTACTGAGGGTTCATGTTTAGGGTAATCTTAAACTTCCGTTCAGAATGTCTTCTCGATATCCTTCCCATTTTACGCCCTGAATCACAGAGTTAACCTCTAGTTGCATTTATTGGAAGTGGCAATAGGCATTCTGAAAATTGAGGATGGTTTCAAGTAGGCTCTGAAACTCGGGGGTGCTATTTTAGCAAATTAGTCTTCTTTTCAAAAAGAAATAAATGAAGATGCCGATAAGGAGGACTTTACTGCCATATCGTCTTAAGGAGACGACTTGAAGCCGTAGTTAAGTTTCCAGTTGGTTAAACTTGGAACCTAATGTTTAGGGAAAAGAGACAAGAGAGCGGGATCAGGTTTGTTTGATCCTGTTCGGCAGCCGGGAGCCACTTGCTCATCAACGGCACGGAATCTTTTTTCTCTGCCCGCTGAACGAAATACTTCGACAAAAGGAAGGATCAAAACATATACAGAATATACAGAATGATATCACTGCGGGCGATCTCTAGCGAGAAACACGGGACGATTTTATGTTTAACCCCTGTCATTGCGTTCAAAAAGCAGAGACCTTGGTTCATCTTGTAGGTCATAGTTTATCGGGAGACGACGAGAAAAAGTTTATCCCCGCCCCCTTGCCGTCTCAATCTTTAAGAGTGAAGAGAAAGGAGATTATCTGCAACTAATAAGTTTAAGAATGTTATATCGTCTCTATTAAATCATTTGTTATAGCATTTCAAGAAAGCCAAAAAAAGAAGAAAAGAAAAAGCCAAATAAAGCACATTGATTTGCATCCGCAATTTTTAAATCTCTTTTTAACTTGCGTAACTTATTTCACAAATCAAATGTATTCTCTTTCAGGATGCAGCGTGGAAGGGAAGATGTATAGAAATGGGCAGAGTTTTTCTCTGAAATCCGACCCATGTACACAATGTACCTGCAAGGTAGGTCGTCAAAATGTTTTAATCAAGAAAGTAAACCGAGTAATAGTATTCTGTTAGCTTGGAACCGAACAGATGAACTCCGATCTCCCCTCAACCACAACACCGAGGGTCCAACATATGTTTTATCCCAAACTCCACCAACCAAGTCCGTTGAAAATATTTCCAAACTATGCATAAATTAACTACGTATGTGGTAGTGCTTGAGAAAATGAGCGCATATTTCACCTTGTTTGCCCACGGATTTGTGTAAGAATATAAACTCAGTTTGATTATTATTGACATTCTTATCAGAAATCGATTCTCACCCTGTTGCCAATGCGCTGGTAGGTAAGCCATGTCGGTAAACACGAGGTCCTTGCAGCACTAAGCTGACACTTCAGTCGCAGAGGTTTAAAACACACTTAGTTTATCTTTTCCAAACATGGCTAAGCATTCGGGCTACCTAGCTTTAGGCAGAGTTTAATCAATGCCACGGTAATTTATTACCGAAATTCCAACAGGGAATGAAAAGGTGCGTTGGGCGAGGTATTAGTCGAGATAAAAGCGCAATTTTCAGATACTAAGGTCTCTTTTCACGCGGGTCAGCCGTCTTCCCTCGCTGCACTGCGCCAGCTGAAAGTCTGTCAAACAATAAAAAAGGCGACATATTCACCCAACAGTTGTGTGTGAAAAGCCATCTAAAGTGGAAGTCGTGTTTGTTATCAAAAGTTAATTTCTATTTGTAAACCCGACACGACGGCAAGCATGCCGATCTTGTTTGATTTATTTTTATTATTTTCAACACGTATTTAATTTTGTGTTTTTTAGAAAGGAAATGTTCAATGCAGTAAACGTGCATGTCCAGTTTTAAACTGTCCACCTGAGGTCATTTACACACCAAAAGGAACATGCTGCCCACGCTGTAATGGTAAGAATATATTTCGCTTTTCTCGTGGTTTCTTTCTTATTTGTTTTCTTTTTAATGTTTCTATTTTTGTATTCCGTGAGAACCAAATTTTTAGTATAGTAGCATCCTTTGCGCTTTACTGAGCCAATTGTCTGCAATAAAAAAGTACTTAAATTTTTGATGAAATTGTTTACTTGACCACAAAAATATAATTATATCGAAATTGTGACTGATTCTCTGCAGGTTCAAGGACGTTTTTCGACTTGGGGAAGACGCGCTGTTTATTCAGATACAAGGTGTACAAGGAGGGCCAGTACATGCCGCTGGATAAGTGCACGGGTTGTACTTGCAAGGTAATTGATAGGATATACATTTTAGCATTCAGAATGAACTAATGTTATTCTACATGTAGATTTAATAATTTGCAGAAATTAAATTAAGAAAACTCTCACCAAGTTTTTTTTCTTTGCAACTGAAAATGTTAATGGTAAAAGATGTTTGAATTATAAGAAAATTCAAATTCAAACGAACAATTTTCACGAATGACGCGATCATCAAAGTCTTTGGAATAATCGGTATTTTATTGTCTCCAGACTGGAACTATGGTGTGTGAGAGCGAGACTTGTCCACCACTCACGTGCGCTGAGGACGAGATTATTCGAGATGAGGGATCCTGCTGTGCAAGGTGTAAACCCAAGAAAAAGTGCGAATACAATGGTGTTCTTCACGAGGTACGAAAATAAAATCAAACCTTGGGCAGATTGAGATTTGAGATTTGATTATTCAAGTTGATTATTAAAAATGATAAAGACATCGTTATCGAAAAAAAAATGAAAAATCTGAAATCAATAAAAAAAAAGAAATAATATAACATTCAGTCAGCTAAGACTAACGTTATAGAAGTTTATTTGTTCTTTCTACGTTCTTCTAAGCCATCCTCATCCTCTGAATCATATTTTATCAATCACGACATGTTAACTATTACAGCATCGAGCAACATGGAAGCCAGATCTCTGCACCACCTGCACTTGTGACAATGGTTCCAGCAAGTGCGAGCTAGAACAGTGCAGCAACCGACTGGAGTGTCCCCCCAACCACCGCCTCCAAATGGTGTATGGACAGTGCTGCCCAAAATGTGTAGAAGGTGAGTTCAGATTTATTATTTAAAATGTCGTCACCAGAGTTCGTTCTATTGGATGGACCGTTCACTTAAAGGCAGTAGATACAGCGAAAAGAGGCAGATAGCGAAGATGAAACCCGGGGTGTTGGTATCGTGACCCAAATGATCTGAAGTGGGAAAAGTTATGGGTTTCTGTTGTTGACAATACCAGGGCACGGAAATATATTACTCGGGCTCGATCGTTCGTCTCTTTGTCATACTGCGTGTGTGTGTGTGTGTGTGTGTGTCTTTTGTCATTTCGTTTCGCGTGCTCCGCACGACCCGTATTTTAATTAAAATTCAATAGTTCGGGGTTAGTAAGAAAATAAAAGACAATTGGAATAGTATACGTTTCTCCCCCCCCCCATCAAGGTTGTATTTCGTCTTTTTTTCATTTTCATTTTTTTCTTTTTTTTTGCGTGAAGAGAAAAAATACGCTTCATTTATAAATCGGATATTCATGTGCAACGAGTGTAATTTTAACCCAAAGAGATTTTTGTGCAAACATTTTCTCACATAGTAGAAAATTAAGTTGAAAGAGAATACTTAATTCCAACATAATTAAAGACAAAACCTATGAGGGGCATTTTATTTATCCAGACGTGTCTTTTTAGATAAATCTTAAAATATGACAGAAACCAAGTGACTATATCAACAACGCGTGTCAGTCTGCAAGGACAGATGTGAATAGATGATAAAATTAGAAACGAAATATTATGTACCACCAAAAATACCATTGTCCCAGCCTACGGATTTCCGACTTAGCAAATAACGTATGTGTGCTTAAGAGTCATTACGACAATTATAATCATAATCATCATCAGCGGCTTATATCTATGTCTCTGTTGTGTCGTGTTATCATGGTAATGTAAGGCAGCTAACCAGACCGCTATGGCGACCGACTTCCAAAAGAGTCGCGTATTATGGTGGCGCCAACAGTAATCATTGGCAAGTCAGTAAGTCAGGAGAGGATAACAGTTCCATGACTCTTTATGTCTGAAGACCCAATTCATCAGTCGCCTGTCTATCTGGCTATTAATTACTCTAAAGAACGTTGGTTATCTGGTGAGAGACGACATGCCGTAGTTTCGAAACATAATGCATAAAGTTAATTAATAAATATTAATAAGAGTAATAAAAATGAAGAAATGAAGTAAAATGATAATGACCATAATGGTTTTTATAAATAGATAGTCTAATAAATGTGAATTACAAAATGAAATAAGTTAAAATAATCAAAAGTGAATATTATGAATTTGGTATTCAAAATCTTTATAATGAAGTTGGAACATTAGTAGGATCGTATTACAAGTTGTGCTTGCTTTTACTTTTCTATTTACTTTCATTTATATATGTCCCTTTGTTTTATTATTATTATCTTGTGTTTGCGTGTGTGTGTTTCTCTTATTAATATTTTGTGTGTGGGTTTCTCTTATTTTTCAAATTTGGATTAATCGTGGGAAAGTGAATAACTTCTATCTGTTTGAATATAATATATTTTTTTCATGTTAATTTTTTTTAAATAAATTCAGAAGATGCAGTGTGCGCTGTCTTCGGGGACCCCCACTACCGGACCTTCGACGGGCGAATTTTCAACTTCCAAGGCACGTGTCGCTACGTGTTGGCCCAGGACTGTGCAAATAACTCCTTCTCCGTCCGCGTGCAAAACCACGCCCGATCCACCCACTCTTTCGCATGGACAAACCGAGTCAGCATCCACCTGGGAAAAACAAAAATAGTTCTCCAGCAAAATTTAGTCATTAAAGTGGACAATAAAAAAGTGGACATTCCGCATGTGAAGCTGGGGGCGTTCTCTGTAATGAAGAGCGGATATTCCGTCATCGTACGGACTAATGTTGGACTCAAAGTGATTTGGGATGGCGACAGTTACGTCGAGGTCGCAGTTCCGGCGAAATACAAAAGTAAAATGTGTGGACTGTGTGGAAATTACAACGGAATCGAAGCAGATGATTTCAAGGGTAAGAAAGGAGGACTCTATCTAAATGCGGATAAATTTGGAAACTCCTGGCGCATAGGCAGCAGAAAATCTTGTTACAAATCACACGCAAAGAAAAGATCAAGAGGCAAGAAGAACAGATACGATGCATCGTGTAACAACGATTTCACGAAGAAAACCAGAGCCGCCGAAGAATGCAGCATTCTTAAGGGACAAGTGTTCTCCCAATGCCGTTCTAAGGTGCCACTGAAGCATTATTACAGGTCAGTATAATATCAAGACATCAATGAAATTCTCCTTGCTTTTCAGAAATAATCCCCGATAATCACCAGCAAAATTACTTCTGTTGTTATCATTATTATTAGTTATAGTAGTAGTGGTGTTGTTATTTTTGTCATTATTTCTGTTATCATTATCATTTGCTAAGCCCAAGTAGGGCTACAGCACTTGTAAACATGATTGTACACGAAGTATTTGACGAAGAAGGAATAGAAATTATTCAGGCCTGCCCTGCTTAAAGATATACATCAAACAATACACACTTGAGCTTTGGTATAAATACATGAATCTAACTGAATATATTATTTTTCTTCACAGGTCGTGTATTACAGACATGTGTGAGTGTCCCAGTTCTCGACAGAATTGCGTGTGTGAATCTCTGAAAGCGTACGCTCGTGAGTGTGAGCGCAAGGGCGTTAAGATTGACTATAGTCAAACAACGTGCAAGGGATCCCGGTGACGTAACTCAACCGTGTTTTCGCCATTGGAATATTAAAGTAAGCTTTGCTTTTTATGACTCATTCAGTGCTTCATTTCCCCCTTGTTCTTTTTAGAAGGGGAACTACAATTGCCCTTAAAATCGACCTTTGATACGCACATTTTTATCACTTTATTGTAATAGTAACATTAATTGCAATAACATAAACACCTGTAATGGAAAGTGAAGAAAGTAAGAATTATTACCATTAAGAAATCATTAAGAAATCATATCATTAAGAAATATCTGACTTGTTGATTGAAATATCTTTAACTCATTTATTATGAAGACTAAACACAGTAAGACTCGGCGGCATCGCAAGCATTTAACTCCCGACTGACTCAAATTATGGCGCGACTAATTTTGCTAATTACATATAATTTTCTTCACAGGTATTTTCCGACCTCGTGGTGCTGTGATGTGACGTCAGAGACCTGTGATATTTCCTACCTCACCGTAATCTCATGACCACAGCGATGATATATTACCTGGTGCTTCCCTGTCCACGCCTTTCGTGTTATTCTTAAGAAAAACATTGCATTGCGGCAGTGGGAATAACTAAATTAAAACGTCGCTTCAGGAAAATAACTTTATTCCCAGTCTTCAGACAATCTTGTGCTAAAGTAGAAACCATAGTTGGTGCTAAGCAGTAATTTTATGCCCTGTTGTTGAAAGAAAATATGTTTTATTTTATACTTAATAGTCGTTAGGATTCAATCAACGTCGCCAATGACACATCTTCTGAGAAGATGTAGTGTCACAACCGGTATTGTGTTGCTTGTCTCAGCAACTGCAATCCGCATCAATGCAGCTTAACTTGAAAAATACTCAATTTAAAGTCAGTAAGTCTTGCCTAGTATAGCTAATATGATATTGTATTGCTACTGAAATCTGAGATTTTATCAGCATTAATTTTTTCTGTAAAATATTGTTTTATTAGGAGTGTCTCCTGTTTTATATATATATATATATGAGACTCATTACCACATGTACATGGATACACTTTCAGGTCTGTCTATCAAATGGATTTAGAGACTTGGTTTAATTATTTTTCATATTTATCTACAAACAATTATATATATTGGGTGATAGTCTTTTATAATTGGAATTACGGATTTGTCTGGCAGGTTTTGATTTATATTGAGATGTCAGAAACGATTTTGCTGTTTGTCAAAGAAAAAAGTTCTATGATAAAAATACACTACATGTATTGCTTTTTTATTTAACTTTTAAGAACTGATCAAATAACTTTTAATACATGTTCTGAGAAGGCCAAATGTCTTTTTAGAAATATACAATATACTGTACAGTGATCCCCTCCTCACTCTCTCTCAACATCTTAACAATACTGTAAGTAGTACATAGATCACAAGAATATTAATTTTGATTCTAAATTATTTTTATTCATGAAACAATGCATTGTAAATACTTATTATGTTTTTCACCACTACATAAATAAATATATATCCTTTTACCAACTATTACTATTTATGGCAAATTTGTACATGCCACCTAAGTATATAATATATATTATATAATATACATTCTTCTATATTTATGAGCAATTTGTAAATAAAAATCCTAGATATATATTATATGTAAGATTATCTGTATTTATGATCCACCTGTACATATCACTTACTTTTTGTAAATGTATAGATATACAAATATATTCCTTAAGCTATGTATTACCCTTGTAATTTATTCCCTCAGTGCAGCCTATTTTACTCTTCAAGTTCTAAGCATTGGATATTAGAATTGGTGACTATATATGAAAATACATTAAGTCATTCACTATTCATGTCATTCATTTTTATAATTGAGAATTTGCACAATGATGTATTTTGAGAACTGAAGATCACTGTTTACGGAATTATATAAAAATAAAAGCAATTATCAGTGTTGAAAAGTGTCTTGTATTGTTTTCCAGCTTTCTGCTGGTTCAACATTCACGTCAGCGTTTTTAATGAACAAAGACATTTAATTCCCCATTTAAAAGCAACTTGTCAACTTTCCCTAAACATTCACAATGTTTGAAAATATGAGGAAAGCGCGATTTAAATGTTAGCAAAGTGTGTCTTTATTATTTTTCTTTTTATAAGTACACTATATATAGAGAACGGCATCTATGCACTTGCCATTCTCCGCCTGCGTTATGTATTGGGATAATAAAAAAATTATTCCTAACTGCTGCAATATACGTGGGATTCAAAGCGTAATGGGGTTTGCAAAAAGATGGGGGACACTGGTGATGCCCAAAAGTTACCACGACGTGGCCGCCTGAAAAAGACGAGTGCCAGAGACGGCAGGCGGCTTTTTCTACTGCCGAGGCTACGAAAGTTTTTGTCGTGCAATGTTTGGCGATAGAGTGGCCGTGCAACAAGTAGCCTCTATTAGCAAAAGAAGGTTGTCAAAGATGGTTCTTTACCTCAAAGGAAGAAACCAGGGGTAAACCAATTATCACCACGGTAAGCTGGCGGAGAAGAGTGACATGGAAAGCAAGAGCACTCGCTTGGACCCCATGTCGAATCTTGTGTCATTTTGTATTTTCCGATGACTCCAAATTCACCCTGAACAACAGGGGTGGATAAGTGAGAGCACATCATTGGTTATCTGCCAGTGAAGACGCGTTTCCTACACATGGCTGCCCTACATTTAATACTGATATAATAACAACATAATTCATGCAAGGAAAAGCATTGGTCTGTAACCTGTAATCAAGTTCTTGAAATTACCAAATAGCATTAAAATTCGAAGTGAAAAACAAACAAGCCAAAAATCCATGTCTCATTTATCTTATGGTGCAATACTTTTGTTGCCCCCTGTATTAACAACCTGCAGTCAAACCCCTCTTTCCATATGTTATACTTTATTTAGTTCCTCGATAACCAAATCCTATCTTTTAATAATTCAAAACACTTTATATAAGAAGATATGAAAACCCATAGCATTGGCTGAACCCCCAAAACACGTAGGCTAACCTTGATATTCTTTTCCTTATGTATAACAATAAAGATGCAGGCACTCAATAAGATAACTGATTAAAACTTAATGAAAGATGCTACCTATATGATGAGTAGTTCTCCAGGCTGTCAGGTGGCTGCTCTGCGGATTCCAATACCATGAACAGGGTCTTCCTTCGTTTGTGTAGTTGCTTTTGTTCAACAAAAGGCCGAGCAATTTTTTCAATCGGCGGTCTGTTTTTTCTATTGTTTTCGTTCATAGTAGACACGAAGCACTCTAGTTCAGTAACACAAAGCGGACAATATGGCACAGGTATCTGTCAACAGAAATATATCTACAATTACGTCCTGGAAGGTATTACCAGGCACGGCAATGGCACGCGTCTGTTAAAAGCACCCATCAGTACTTGCTACATGAAAAGCTTCCCTTCCTGGTTGTTGAGGGAGAAGTTTGATGATGAACTCCACGTCAACGCCTCGTTTATGTCAGTGGCTTTGGCAGATGAGATGAAAAGGTGCAGCAATGGAGAAAGTGGACATTTAGATATTATTTTACGCGCAAAAGTGAGAAACTACACGGCGAGCGGAAAGCTTCAAATGAATTACTTGTTGAAGCTGACAGTGAATTGCAGCTACGATCCAGTGGAAAGCGGTCATTTCCTGGGGATACCAGCCGTTATGTACGAACGACATGGCGGACCAGAGGATGCCAGGTTGTTTGTTGTGGATGGAAGCAATGTCATTGTTTATTCAAGAATAGTCGAAGGGTTTCTCTCCAGAGTGTATTTGTACAATATTGACACCGATGAGGGTCCGAAGCGAATACAAGTCAATGACATGGCCCTTCAAGGGTGGGAAAAGAACTGGGTACCGATTCAGTTCACAGCTTCGTTTCCACCCTATAGTCAAAGCTCCTACACAGCCAAAGACAAGACATTTTTTCTAGTTTATTCACTATCCCCATTCATTATGTTAAAATGCGACTACGCCTCCGCCGTATGCTCCCAGCATAACGCTGTACCCGGATCAGATTTGAATAAAAAGTCTGACACGACTTTACCTGGGGACTCTATCAATCCACTCAACCCGGCTCCTTCAAAACAAAGACGAGGGTCATCATTTCTCCGGAACGGCACACCTTTTGTTCATTACAAGGACGACCTCCATATAGCACTGATTCACCGACGCTTTCGCAAAGTTTACCACGTTTACCTTGCGGTTCTAAGCTCCAGAACACTTAGTATTATATACATCAGCGAGCCTGTGCGATTTCACGCAGACCTTTACTGCATTACCATTCAGCCAAAATCTTTTTTCCCATTTGTGTATCCAACTTCACTGATATTGAAAAATCCGGATACGTTACATATTGGAGCACACGTAAATGACAGAGAAGCCATCATGTTGAGAATGACCGGAGTTCAAAGCTTAATGAACTCTCTCTTGGAGAAAGACCACCACACCGGGCTATCAGACACTGACATAAAACTCTACGTAGAGACCCACGACTTGGCGAAAAGAAGGCGATCATGTGCAAATAACTTTAGTTGGTAGCGCAATTATTACTATACTAACATTTTTTTTTTTGTAGAGACCCCGTTAGTGGACTGAAAAAAAAGTATCAGAGAGAATCACTTATAAATCTTTTAACGATCCCAGAGAAAAATGTACCATACATGTTTGCACATCTGCACGAAATGTGTTAAAGGGATAATAAAATGAATTTTCCTGGAGTAAACAACATTTTCCCATACTTACCAATGGTTAATGAATCCATTTTTATATTCAAAGTTAGTCCCTGTTTCTTTCTAAAAAGGGTTTTTTTGTTAGAATCTCTTAAGAGATTATAACAGAGTATAGCCATCAATGGAGGTCATGTGGTCTGAAGACAAGCTCAAGGTTTTTGTGGTAAAACAGAATATATTTTATTTCTATGAGTTGTTCTCAATGTTTTTATTGTGAAATATAGATCTCATACAAAGAGTTATTATCCCTTTAAGTTAAATTCATATTCTAAAAGCCAGTGCAATACGCTCATGCAAATAACAAAACTACATGTAGGTAGATGTACCGATAGTTAGAGTTAAGGAAAAATAAGTAGCAATACGCTACCCCATGTAACCAAAAATTAACGTCATTTTACTGCATATTTTACTGTCTTTTGCATATTTTCCTTCATTTAAGAGAGGGTAATACACGTAACTGTCGTTTTACTGAACAAAGAGCTGAGTGAGCAGGCGTATAAACAAGACTTAGAAGGTACTCCTTGGTGTTTGTTGCACTATTCTTATGGTTGTTATTGATGGCAGAAATACGGCTAAAATACTGTTTTGATAATGTTTGTTTTTAGGATTTTTTTGGCTTTAACCAGGTTGTGAAGGAAAAGGAGCCTGAAATCTTTGTGGTATTTTTTGAGGTTGAAAACTTGAATAAGTGATAGATATAAAGCATTATAAAATTAGCGAGAACATCAAGAAAATCTATTAGGTGTATCGTTGTCAAGCTTGTAAATCTTATTTTAAAGATGTCTTAAGGGTTATCTGACAATTGTAATCATTGTGATCAAGTTGTGAACTGGATCAGTTTCGACTCGAAGCCGACGGCCCATTTTATAATGCTCCGATTTTAGCCCACATGTATCAAACACGTGTTTCTGTCAGATACGTATTACGGAGGTAAAAAGGATGTGGGGACCGTTGAAAAATCTGCATCTGACTAGGCACACCATACCCCCC